CGCGGACCTAACTGTGTGGCCCCTCCCCTGGTTCACGTTCGACATAACCCCCGATACGACTACTTGGAGACGGGGTTCTTGGGAGGTCACTGAGGTCAAGTGAGGTCCTGAGGGTGGGGCCCTGATGTGGTGGGATGGGGCTCAGGAGACAGGGAGAGAGCTGTCTTCCTACGCGAGGGGAGGCTGCGAGGGCCAGTGAGGGCTGCAGACGGGGAGAGCTCACCAGGCCCGGCCACCCAGCCCGGGTCTCGGACTCCAGGCTCCGGGACTGCGAGAGGGAAGGTCCTGGGCTGAAGGTGTCCAGCCTGTGACCTTCTGTGTGGCAGCCTGAGCCGGCCAGACGGACAGCAGAGTCTAGGAGCTTCTCCCTCCCGAGAGGTTTGCAGGGCCCAGGTCAGACAGCCCTGAAGGTCCCCAGCGCCCTAACTGAGGAGTGGCCAGTGCTCGGTCTGCCCCCCCTCCCCCCCCATGCTCTCCTACAACCTCGTCCTGCTTCTCTGACACGAGGGCTCCTCTGACCATCCTCCTTGGTCTCACCTGGCCCCGCTCTGTCCCCACACTTGACCCCGGGACTCAGTGCTGAATTCATCTCCGGCTGCCTGGCCTCCCTCCGTAGGTGCACTCAGCTCATCCTTCCTCTGCGGAAGCACAGAGCCCCGTGGGTGGCCGGGGTGGGCAGAGGAGAGAACAGCAGCCCCCTTTCTGGGCGTGTTCCTGTGCCCAGTCCTCTCCACCCTCTCCATGGGCACTGCTCACACACCAGCCTGAGCCGCCCCTTCTGAAGGCTTTCTTCCCAGACCGTTGACAGTTCCCAGAAGAGGGAGCAGGGTCTCTCCCCCTCCTTCCCTACCCCGCGAAACTAGAAGCAGTGTGAGGGCCCCTTCTCGGTGGGTCCTGCCCCAGCCTCTCAGAGAAGGATGGACAGTGGTCCAGCCCTGGCTACTGAGGCTCAGGGTGAGAGCCTCGGCCCCGGACCAAAGAGTCACAGGTTCGATTCCGGTCAAGGGCACATGCCTGGGTTGCAGGTTTGTCCCTGGCCCTGGCTGGGGTTGTTTGGGAGGCAGCCAGTCGCTGTGTCTCTCTCTCTCCCCCTCAACCCCATATTCTATTTGAAGACAAATGGGAAAACGTACCCTCTGGTGAAGAATGGGCCCAAGAAGGCTACCCTAATGCCAGCACGGGCGGTGGTGTCTGCAGGGCGTGTCTTAGCCTCAAGCAGGAACGTGACTTCCAGTGACACAGGATGTTTCTGAAGACCCTGCACCTGGTCATGTGTGCGTCCTTTGTTTGGGGACCCACAGTGTAGGACTTCAGCAGTTTGCTTAAGGGGTGTGTCTGTGTGTACGTCAGCGATCTCATCCTTTTCCATCTCACGGCACATGAACTAATCGCTGAAATTCCGCAGCACCCCAAAAATATAGATTTTGCCAATCTCACACAATTTTGATTCGTTCCCACCAGATGGCTATTGTGTTGGCCGTTGTCATCGTTTAGTTTTTGTTTTTAATTTTTTTTCCTTATTGATTTTAGAGAGAGAGGAAGGGAGAGATAAACATAGATGAGAGAGAACATCGACTGGCCACCTCCTGCACGCCCCCCCACTGGGGATCGGGCCCACAACCTGGGCATGTGCCCTGACCTGGAGACCTCCTGGTACAGGGTCGACGCTCAGCCATGGAGCCACACCAGCTGGGTATCGTATTTTTTATTTGACAGCCTAAGGGGAAAGAGGTCAGTGTCCCTGACTAAATAGTCGGGTACGGCCTGTTTTTAAAAATCTGTGGCGCCCAGGCTGACGGCTGCTGGTGCACGGCAGTGAGATGTTCACCTGCTAAGAAACTGCACCTTCCAGCCCAGACCAGTGGGCGGTTTGCCTGGGGTCACGTTAGCATCTGACCAGGCATCATGCCTGAGGCGGGTCCTCAGTGTGATGGGCCCTTGCAGACACCTGCCGGCTGCCGGCCCGCCGTCCAGGCTCCTCCCGGCCCCCGCCATCCAGTCCCCTGTGGGAGGCCCCTCCGGGCCCTGGGTGTGTGCCCTCAGAGAGGGCAGGGCCTGGCAGGCCCACGGGGTGCCCACCTTTACAAGCAGGTGCCAGCCCCGCAGTCACTGACTTGGGTGCAGCTCCGTCGGGAAAGCAGACAGAAAGCGCCACATCGCACGTCTGAGCTTTCCCTGAACATACACATTCCTGTCGTTCCGCAAGGCTTCCGTGGCCGTGGGAACACCAGCAGTCCAGGGTGACGGGAGCCCTGGGGCTGGTGTGAGCGACGGCATAGTCACCCAGCCCTGGCCTCACCCCTACCTGTCCACAGCCTCTTGGGAACTCGTTCCGGGAGCCCGAAGCCCAAGCACCCAGGGGTCGTGGGCATCTCACCTTCTCCCTGCCCCTGGGGGAGCGCTCCGCAGGGTCCAGCGGATGGACCTCAGCTTCCGTGGTCCGCGCCACAGGCGTTCTGAGTCACCCAGTGGCAGTCTCACCCAGGCCTCAATGCTGCAGGTCAGCCCCTCCCCGGACTCCCCGCCCTGTCTGCCCGTGTGTGACATGTGGTTCAACCAGGTGTCCTGTTCTGCTCACAGCCAGGCTGGCTGCGGCTCTCACTGCCCACATGGACCCCTGGCCTGTACCCGGGGTCTGTCCTAGAGGGCCCTGGGGTAGCTCCTTACCCCACGGTAACCAGACTGCTTACATCCATCCATATCTGCACCGTTCAGTGACTTAAAAGTAGTGGCCGCTAGCAGGTCATCTCACTACACTGCCAGCAACCTCTGCAGACGGACTTCACCCCTCGTGAAGTCTGGGGCCGTAGCCAGTCGCTCCCAGGCCCTGCGCTCATTTGCTGGGAACCAGGAGTTTACGCCTGGACTGCCGTGCCTGTGCCGGTCAGATAGGCCTGGAAAGAGCTTTCTGGTCAGTGTGTGTTCTCGTAGTGTTTGAACCACGAGGTTCCGAAGAGGCTTGTTCTCAGTCTTGGTCCACAGCAGGGAAATGGCTAACGGTGTGTCATTGTGAACTGCGACGGGGCTGTCTGGCCACACCACACAACCTGTAGCTAATGATCAAGATAAAGATGTGGGCCCACTAGTGTGGCTCCGTGGTTGAGTGTTGGCCCTGCACCAAGGGGTTGCTGGTTCTGTTCCAGGTCAGGGCACATGCCCAGGTTGTGGGCCCGATCCCCAGGGGGGGGCGTGCGGAGGTGGCCAGTCGATGTTCTCTCTCATCGATGATTCTGGGTTTTTTTCCCTCTCCCTTCCTCTCTCTCTAAAATCAATAAAGAAAAAATGTTTTTTTTTTAAATGTTTAAAATATAAGATAAAGATGTAAGAAAATGCTTCCTCAGTGAGGTGGCCGGCAGGACACCCTGTTCCCAGCGGCCAGGCTGCACCTCTGACATTCCTGCGGGATCTGCAGGATCTGAGGGTATTAGCAGGTCCCCATCAGCCTCCTCGGAGGTTTTTCATGTCACTTCAGCTATTGAACTAAAATATGTGAACTATTACTTTGTTGATTTTGTCCTTAAACCAAACTGCATTATCATCTGGGAGTTTGTCCTTAAAGTATTGTTAAAAGGACTTTGAAACCTTGTAAATCCCTGTAATTTATGTTTCTCCTGCCCCGGCTGTTTCTTCCCCTCTGGTTTTAATCTGAACACAGTCCCGCCTGGTGTGTACCTGTGCTGCTGTTTTCAAGCAGGATTTACAGTCCCACCGTGGGACCTGACAGCGCCCTACCTGTGGGCCCCCTCCCGCCTGTGGGCCCCCCTTCCCCTGTGGGCCCCCCTTCCCCTGTGGGCTCCCCATCCCTCCGCCGGTGGGCTCCCCCAGGCCGGGAAGTGGCCTGGGTCACGAGCTCCCCCAGGACGGTGCAGTCAGAGGTACTCGAAGCAGCTCTGATGTGGACGTTTCTTAGTCGGCGGTGAAGGCCCAGGGAGTCCATTGGGAGGGTCCTGCCAGCCCGTGAACCGCGTTGCCCGTGTCCTAAAGCGCACACGCTGTGAACAGACTGCTCCAAGGCAGCGTCTCAATTATCTAAACAACCCCCTTTTAGACTCAGTGGCACTGATGGAAACAGACAAGGAGTCAGCTTGGGGGAGGGGCCTCGCCGCCTGTGCAGAACTGCTCATTCCCTCACAGATGCACCCGCACGGCCGACTGCGGTGGGCCGGCCAGGAGGGTGCTCACGGGCTGGGTGCTGTGCAACCGTGTGTGCGCTTGCGGTCCGGCCCCGCCCCCCAGGTGTGTGCGTGTGTGCGTGCAGTCCTGCCCCCCCAGGCATGTGCGGTCCTGCTTCCCAGGCGTGTGCAGTCCTGCCCCCCAGGTGTGTGCGTGTGTGCGTGCGGTCTTGCCCCCCAGGTGTGTGCGTGTGTGCGTGCGGTCCTGCCCCCCCCAGGCATGTGCGGTCCTGCTTCCCAGGCGTGTGCAGTCCTGCCCCCCAGGCGTGTGCGGTGTGGTCCGGTCCCCAGGCGTGTGCAGTCCTGCCCCCCAGGTGTGTGTGTGTGTGCGTGCAGTCCTGCCCCCCCAGGCGTGTGCGGTCCTGGCCCCCAGGCGTGTGCGTTCCTGCTCCCCAGGCATGTGCGGTCCTGCCCCCCAGGTGTGTGCGTGTGCGGTGCGGTGCGGGCCCCCCCCAGGCGTGTGCGGTCCTGCCCCCCAGGTGTGTGCGTGTGCCGTGCGGTGCCCCCCCCCAGGCGTGTGCGGTCCTGCCCCCCAGGTGTGTGCGGTGCGGTGCGGCCTCCCCCAGGCGGGCTCTCTCAGGGCAGCCCCACCTGCAGCGCAGATTCTGTTCCCTTTCGAATGGCTGTGGGACTTGAGGAATCTTTGCCTTGAGTCAGGAGAGGAAATTATTTTATGCTCTTTTCAAATCTCACTTAAATTCAGCTCAGGTAAGGAGTTCAGAGTCGTCTTTTCCTCCCACGCTCAGCATGTTCTCCCTGGTTCTTCCGGACAGTCGGCGAGGGGCAGGGGCGGGGCTGCTGGCTGCTGACCCAGTGTCCCCTTCCCAGGGCATCGTGCAGTCGGGCCGCCACCCCACGGTGCTGCAGCGGCTGGCGCAGCTGCCCTTCCAGTACTTCAGCGACCCCCGGCTGGTCAGGGTGCTGTTCCCCGCCCTCATCGCCGCCTGTCACAACAACCGGCAGAACAAGGCCGCCCTGGAGCAGGAGATGAGCTGCGCCCTGCTGGCCACGTTCATCCAGGTACCTGCTGCCTCTGGGGAGGGAGCCCCCCAGGAATGTCACAGGTCGCTGTGAACCTCAGGGTGGGAAGGGGTTGCTCTTGTTCAGTTTGTGCGGGGAGGGTTCAGGGAAACGGCTTTTCTCCAGTGAGTGAGCCCCAATAAGGGGCTGGTTTTTTCTTATTATTTTTTTAATCCTTGCCCAAGGACATTATTTCCACCCGAGGATATTATTTTCCATTTACCTTATATAGAGTGGAAGGGAGGGAGAAGGGGGTGCGGGTAGAGAGAGAGAAACATCGATGTGAGAGGGACACACCAATTGGTTGCCTCCCGCACGACAGGACCAGGGCCAGGGACGAACCGCAACCAACCGAGGTACATGGTGGGAATTGAACCCTCAGCTCATTGGTCCTCAGGCCAACACTCTAGCGCTGAGCCAAACCAGCCAAGGCCATTTTACATATATTTTAACACAAATTATGTTAATGCTGCACAGATTTCTTAGAATGCTTATTTGGGATAGAAGGTTAGACGCGGGTACTTAAATCAGGCATGTTTTCCTATAGATAATGGTGCTCAAGGGAATGAATAGACATTGCATTTTAGTTAATAAAATGGTTCTGCAAGGTCCTCATGTATTAGATTATGAATAGTCACTAGAAAATTATATTAAAAGTAGGAGCTGGTCATTTTTGAAATTTGATATATTATTCTGCATTTTTTATTTTCTATATAAAAGTAAAATTACCAGACTTTAAGATTCAGCTGCAGAATACCTAAGAGCTCTTATAGTTGTGCTTTTAAAAAAATGTTAAAAATCTGAAAAAAAATCCGTCAGTATTTTAAGACACTAAATTTTATTAAAATGTTCAGTTTGTTAGATGTAAAATAAAATTGTATTTTCCACAGTAGGCAGCAACCTGGCCCTGGGATTAGTTGAGCAAAATGTAAGAGTTATCACAGTTCGGTGTAAAATTACAAGAATCTGGAGTCCATAATGTGCATGTGTTCAGCTTTCATATTTGGTCTCCAAAATATTCGTGCAAAAGTCATCTCAGAATTCAGAAGCATTTTTAAAGCCGCCCTCAGTGAAACTCCCTGCTTGTCACATTGGCATAAAAACACTTTTCTCGTCCACATAGGACTTCGCGCAGACTCAAGGTCAGGCGGATCACCGGTCTCACCAGCCCAAAGGTATGTCTGTGCAGTGAACGCCGTGTGTGCGCTGAGCAGATGTGTTTCTAACCCACCTTCTGGGACTGACAGGAATGAATGTGTTCCATGGCCCGCAGTGTTCAGTCTGTGAGCACCAGGTGCATTTCAGTGTAAAGAAATCCACCTTGTCGCCCTGGCCGGTTTTGCTCAGCGGTTAGAGCATCGGCCTGCGGTCCGGAGGGACCCGGGTTCGGTTTCCGCTGGGGGCGCGTACCTCGGTTGCAGTTTGTCCCCAGCCCTGGTCGGTTGTGCGGGCGGCGACCACTCGATGTGTCCCTTCACGTCGATGTTTCTTTCTCTCTCTCTTCCTTTCTCTCCCTCCCGCTCTATCTGAACAAAAAATGGAAAAATGTCCTCGGGTGAGGATGATAAAAAAAAACAAAAAAAAAACAGAAATCCACCTTGTCATCAGGCTGAGTGTCAGGACACAGAGAAGTCTATGGGCGTAGGAGAAGAGCATGAAACCTCTGTGTGTAACTCGCACTCGCCTCACGCAAGGTCCAGGAAACTCACAGACCCACTCAGCAGTGCAGGAGCCGGCCGGGTCCTGAACACAGGCCGATGTGACCCAAGATGCTGACTCACATGGAATGAAACTACCAGTGACCGCAGCCCCGTCTCCCCCTAAGTTCCAGGACCTGAATTTCTCTCATTGAAAAGGCCATCGGAGTACGAGGTTTCCCTGTCCTACTCCTGTGAGGTGTGTCTGGATCAGAGCTGGAGACGGGAATTGTAAAGGGCATTTTCGCTGTGAAAGGTTTGCGGCCTGACCGTGACGAGAAGGACAGCCACTCTTCGACGGCTGTGCCAGCATCTCTGAGTGGGACCCTGAGCCACATCCCTCGATTCTTCCATGAGCTGGATCGTCTTTACAGTGGCCAGAGGCCCACTTGCAGCAGGCCCGGGGCAGTTGCCTGGCTCCTTCTCTCTCTCTCTCTCTCTCTCTCTCTCTCACTCACTCTCACTCTCTCACACACACACGCGCGCACATATCTCTAGTGGGCAGGTGTTGAAAGGTACATAGACGAGAATATAACTAAACCTGTAACAATACCTTGCAAGCATGGCATGTCTCATTGACCTGGGGCTCTGAGGAGTAAACAGAAAGCTGTGCCCCGTTTAGACAGGAGCGTCAACATCACAGTCGGTACCGTTTGTCTAAGCAAGTTCAGTTCTGCCCTGACTCCGTCTTCAGAGGAAAAAAAGAAGCTATTGGAGGCTACTTGGGAAAAATCAGTGTAATTTATTACTGTTTCTTACAAAACAATTTTAAAATTTTTGAATATGTAAAAATACCCCCAGAAATCTTTCATTGTTTTCCATTTTTCTCCCAGGAAAATGCCTTGGGTCCCAAGACTACCTGGAGCTGGCTAACAGGTTTCCTCAGCAGGCCTGGGAAGAAGCACGACAGTTTTTCTTAAAAAAAGAAAAATAAAAAATGTTTTGGTTGGTTCTGTGTTTGAGTGCCCTCATTAATAATTTAAGTTGTTCAAGCAAACGTTCTAATTGTTCCTTGAGAACCTCGTTTCATGTGCACCCCACTCCTGACTGGAGGTATGCTGACCTATTTATAGGCTGCAGATCCTCTCCTGGTCTGCTTGCCAAGTCTGTACATTGAGTTTATTTCATTTTTGCACAGAACTTTGCGTTTTGGTAACTTCCGTCTTATAATATGTACTTTGCATTTGTAATATGGGTGAAATTAGACACAAAATTAGCAAGTTTGTTTTGTTCTTACAATAAAATAACTTATTCTGTTTGCAATGTCGAGTTTTCTTATTCAGACACTACAACATTGAAAGAAAATGCTAACTCCGACTCTGAAGTATCTTCATCAGAGACTCAGTTGAAGTCTACCAGCTCTGAATGCCCCTATTCAGGGCTCGGAGCACATTCTAGTGACACGTATGTTTTCGAGGCGTTTGAAATGAATGTAGAGCACTGATCACTGTCTGCGACCCACTCCCGGCAGACAGCACAGGCCTCCCCTGCAGCGAGTTGAAGTCCTCCTCCAGAATAAAGTCCAGAGCCAAACGAGCCCACAGCAAACCACCCCAAACGTTTTCTGGAAGACAGGAGAGCAGCAGGCCCCTGGCCTGTTCCGCACCTGAGGCCCCGTGGCCGGTGTTAAGCCGAGCACTGAGTGACATCGGTAATCACTTCTGTCCGATAAGGATCAAACACTACCAAGAACAAAGATCTAGTTGGAAAAATTGTTCCCAATATGTATCAGATTCAAGGCTGGGGGTGGGGGCTGGGAAAGAAGTTTCTTCAGTTTGTTAGAAGCAAACCAACCCACGTGGCTTTTACTGCTTTACAAAGCGAGAGAAAGTGGACGTCCAACCTTGAAGCCCAAAACAAATGGCAACTCACCCCAGTGCCCATGTCCACACCTGAGCCTCGGCCGGCCCACGGGCTCAGAGAGGGAAAGTCAGATATTTGTAAGATTCACTGCAAGACACTTCTCGATAAAATGTGTTCATCTAGTCAGAAATTTGTCCAAAATTTTTAGGTAATGGAGACAGCTGGGATTATCCTCCCAGAAACCATCCACACTGGCAAGTAGAAGTTTGATCAGATGGTTTTTCTGCCCCAGTGGCCCAGGGGCTCCACCCTCCCCGGGGCGCTGTGACCCAAACTGGCCTCCCCACTGCCCTTCCCCACCCACCCCCAGCACAGCTGCAGACCTGGGGGTCCTTTCTTCCGGAGCTCCCTGCCAGCCTTAAATCCTTGGGAAGGGATCACCCCCCACCACCCTGTTCTTCCACTTCCCTCTTCCTGCCCCTGCACCCCGACACGGGAGTCTCCCACCTGTGGTCTGCCTGCCGGTGGGCACACACCAGGCGCTCTGTTCATTCCCAGACCCGCTCTCCCACCAGAGGCTGACCTGCTTGACCAGCAGGTGCCCTCCTCCAAAGGCATGCCTGCCTTTCTGACAGGACTGCTGCAGGGGCCCCAAACTTGCTCTTTAAATCAGGTCACTCCCCCCGAAACCCACACCGGATTGCAGTGCAGTAGGTCCTGTGCCTGGTTCCCATGACCAGGCTGACTGCATGCATCTGCACCCCCCTGCACAGCCTCTGTCAACAAGGTGCTACTTGGTAATTGCTTACATAGTCCTCGTTACTGCCTCCAACCCCTGTATCTTGAAGAAAGTTTACCTTTACATCAATCAGACCTACATTTAAAAGCCTCTAATCTTCCCCACATCAGCTTAATAAACTCTGAATTTCCTGCTTTTATCACAACTCCATTGCAACCTCTCTGCAAACAGTTTATTGCTCATTGTTTCCTCTCGCCAGCACGCCGCTGTCTTTCCGAAGACTTGCTGGTATGGGAAACTGCCAACCAAATGTGTGTGGGGGGGTGCCCCTCCCCCAAAGCAGCAGCAGCAGCATCTTAGGTTTTCTTGAGAACACGTTAGATAATGCCTCACTCCGTATTTGCTGCTCTAAAAAAAAGGGGGGGGGGACTTTAAAGCTATTCCATATTCAAAACTGAAAGGCTGATTTCTGTCCCACAATCCAAACATTAAAGTTTGTTGAGAATACTGGCACAGGGGCTCTGAGTTTCCCAGAAGTGTGCAGCCTTTCAATGTGCATTAAATATTGTGGTATAATAAATAGCCAGAAACCTTTTCCAACTCTGGGAATCCCTTTCCTGCCTCAATTTCATAGAGCCATCCAAATTATTAGATAAACAGAGAATGAATGTCTGATTCTAAAGTGACTCAAATAACTAACTTCCATTTTCCATCTATGGCCTCGTAAGTGACTTTTTTATTACACAACTGGGTGTCTGTCTCACTTTAAAAGTTTAGTAAACAAAAAACACAACGCGTGTAATTGTTACAGGTAATTTCATTTACCAGAAAATCCCTACTGTATTACAGAAGATGTTTGTTTAAAGATGACCTGGGAACCATTAAAACTAATACGTGTTAATGTAACCAACCGACTGTAGGCCTGACACCTCACCAGGGACCATTGTAAGAAAGCTTCCGAGTCGAACCCTGTCCCTGGAAACCACGCGGGAGAGCCAGTCCCTGTGCCTGGCCAGCAGCAGAAGTCTGTGCTGCTACACAGCCCCGCAGGCCCACGCAGGCCTCCGTTGAACAGTAACCGCTCTCATTTCCCAGCGTCCAAACACGGACATGCTCGTGTCACTACCAAGAGGAGTTAGACTGATCCCTGGGTGAGAAGAGGAGGTGCTGCAGCTGGATGTTCCCACTCGCGGCATTACGATACCAGGCTGTCAGAGGCACACATTCAGAGCTAATTAACAACATTCCTGAAATTCTTTATTCAAAAACCCATTTTCTTTTTCTTAAGTGACAAATCCCAATATTCTGGATAAATCAAAAGTTTCGACGAGCAAGAGTCGCTGGAAGTTGAGCCACCCACTCAGGGCAGCCCGGAGGTGAAGGAGGTCCCCAGACTTCCGTTTGGGGGGCACCGGCCCACGCGAGGGATGAAGCCTCAAAGCCGTGTCTGGGTGCTGGGAGGTAAAGCTGGTCCTCATTAGCCCCCCTGCCTCTCCCTCGTCTGTGCGTTTCCTCAACCCCGAAGGGGAAGGTTCTCGTTAATTTTGGTGCTTAGCGTCACCCCTTCAGGAAGCAAAACAGAAACGTGGCTTCACTTCCACGTCGCCTCCCATTTTCTTTCGGTCACTGAAAGCCCGGACCCCCCCTTCCTCCTCCAGGGGGGCAGAGGCGACGCCATCCGCCGGGTGCTCTGTGGGACCGGCGGGGCCGCCCCACCCGGGCCGGTCATCACGGAGGCGCGAACCCGCGTCCCTCGGACACATTCTCGCCAGCAGACTCCCCCCACGGGAGGACAGCTGGCCCCACTCAGGGGCGTCGCCTCTTTCAACACCAGCCCGGGTGGAGCAGGACGTGCCCGTGGGTCCGTAACTGCGGGGACCGGAGGCGGGAGCCAGAGGCTCCTCGGCGGGTGCTGGCGGCCGCCGAAGGGTTAACACTCGGGGCAACCTGAGCTTGCGCCTGTGCGCTCGCCCGCGGCTGCGGGAGATTCGGTATCTCTCGGCTATTTCCTGCGACCTCGAAAGCCAGTTTTCAAGAAAACAAGTGGCAGGTTTGAAATGTCACACCGAGTGACCCGGGCCATCCCCGCCCCCGCACTCGGGTCTGGAAGGAAAATAAACCCAGGACACGCCAGACTGGTTCTGGGGGCGCGCCGGCGGGGCCCGCGGCTCCCGCGCTGGCTCGCTTGCAGGTGATGCCGGCGCCGATAAGGGCGTCGCGCGCCCGTCCTGCGTCTAGACGGGAATGAATAGCCCAGGCCCGACGGGAAGGCCAGGGGCTCCGGCCACCCAGGGGCCACGGGAACCGCGGGCCCTCGCGATCCTGACCTCGGGCGAGACCGCCCCACGGCGGCCACCGAGAGGCGCAGCTTCCCGCCCACACCCGAGGGGTCGGCCGCGGCGGGCGCAGCTCCGCCCCCGCCGCGGCGCCCAATCTCCGCCGGGCCCGCCCCCGCGCGGTGCCCAATGCCCGTCGGGCCGGCCTCGCGGGGACACGAGGGGCAGCGGGGCACGAAGCGCCGCGCGTGGCCGTGCGAGGCCCCGACCCCCTGCGGCGCCGGCAGCACATGGGAGCAGATCGCATCCGGTTATTATTTTTTTATTAAGATGAAAATATTCGTCCCGCTATGAACTGGCTGTTCTTACAATAAATAACAATAACTTACGTTCTGTTCGGCAAAGGCTCACACGCTCTGTCCTCCGTCGACGGATAATTTAAACATTTTCAAGGTAAGTCTGTTTCTACTTTTTCCGGCAATCATGCGCTTTGGGGGACTGAGGTCTGTTCCTCGCGGGTGTCCTGTCCTCTCCCCGCTGGAGCCCCGGAGCCGCGGGGGCGTGGACGCAGGGAGAGGAGAGGGCAGGGCTGACGCTAGCCAACCCCAAATTCTGAGTCTGAGAACACACAAGTCCTCGGAGCAGGGCTCTCCAGCCTGGCGAAAGCAGGTGCGTCCTGCCGCTCTTAGCCGTCCTGACGCTTCTCTCTGTCCTCTCTCTTTAAATAACAACAACAACAATTACAAAGGCGAGAGCTTTCAGCAGGCAAGGCTTGAGCACGGGCGAGTCTCATGCAGGGAGCATGCGCGGTCCGCGGATTGGGGGGTCTCCTCACGTCTCCACCGGGCTCGGCACCATGCTGTTGGGCGTGTCGGGGAGCTGCGAGGACAAGGAGGTCACGTCGCTGCCGGAGGAGTTGCCCAGGGAGCCAGACTCGGAGAAGGAGACCTGGAGGCACCAGGTAGGAGCGGTGAAGACGCGTCCGGGCGGGGGCTCCGAGATGGATGCCCCTTAGGAACGTGCCTCCCGCCGAGAGCAAGCCCTTCGGAGATGGCGGCCAGGTCCCCAAGCGCACGCAGGGGTATTAGGGCAGGGGCGCAGGCTGGTTAGTCCCTGACCTCTCCTGCAAACGCGTTAATCCAGGGAGACCTGGCTTAGAGCGAATTACAGGCTGGGTGAGGTTGCAGCGCTGCCCCCCCCCCCCTCCAACCACCCGATTGCCTAGAGCTGTCCCAGCCGGTCACCTACGGGAAGGCTCCCCTCCCCTGGCTAAATCGTTAAATCCCAACCGGAGTCCTGAGGTCGTGCGGGCTGGCCAGGGCCTCACCAGCTGCTGGAAGGCGGGTTGGTCCAGGTCACTCTGCAGCGCGAACTCGCTGAGCGTTTTCCACGGCGGCTGGTACGTCTGCACCTCCACCGCGCTGCCCTGCACCGCGCTCTCGTGGCGGATGGGGCTGCCCGCTACCAGAGGTGTCCCGGTCAGTCCCTGCAGGCTCTTGGGGACAAGCAGAAGTAGGGAGTGGGGCGCGCTCGATTTAGGTCTTCAGTTTCCCGCCACCTTTGAGACTGGGGTCCCCGGCACTGGCGCGCGATTTGCGGCCTGAAGCGGTTTGAGGAGAAGCGCTCAGGCGACCGCACCCGGGTGAGCCCTCCTTCCCCAGCGAGGATACCTCAGACCCGCAAACCCACCACCACGGGCCGGCCTCAGTGTTGGGAGTCACAGAGCAGGGGAACGCTAGGCCTGGGTCCTGGTCCCCGCCAGATACGCGGGACATGACCGGCCCCAACTCAGGTCTGCACAAGCCATCTGGAGATTCCCGTCGTCCCCCCCCCCCCCAGTCTCCCCAGAGCCCGCCCAGATGCGGGAGTCGAGACCCACTCGCCCCTCTGGCCACGATCCCTCACCGTCTTGTCGTTATGCTGCTGCTGCTGCAGCTGCTTCATGAGGATGGATTTCTTCTTGTCCTTGCAACGCTTGTTCTGGAACCAGACGCGGATGACCCGCGGGCTCAGGCCGGTCATCTCAACCAGCTGCTCCTTCATGAGTGCGTCGGGCCGCGGGTTGGCGGCGTAGCAGGTCCGCAGGGTGTGCAGTTGCTTCTCGTTGAGCACCGTCCGCACGCGGGTCGTCTTCTCCGCCTGCTTGTGCACGTGGGGGCGCAGCGCGGGCTGCCGGCCGGACCCGGGCTCTGCACGGATGGGGCGCGCGGTGAGCCAGAGGCCCCGTCCACCCGCCGCCCCCTGCCCACCCCGTTGAGCCCTCGGCCCAACTTCGTTTCTTTTATCGTTTCTTTTGTAACCTTCATCTCCCTTTGTTAGTTCGCCCCACCCGGAGGGCGGTTCGCATTGTAATCCCTTCCCAAGTCTCCCCGGAGGGCGGTTCGCATTGTAATCCCTTCCCAAGTCTCCGACCCCCCTCAGCGCAGGGACCTCCCTGGAACACGGGAGTGGTCACCCTCCGCCGAGCCTCCTGCAGTTACTGGACCCCCGGATGCTCACAGGGGCCCGCGCGACCGGGAACAGGAGACCGGGGTCGCCTTCCGGAAGAAGTCTGTGTTTCGGAGGTGGAGGAAGGAGGCACCCTCTCGGCTCTGGAGTGGGAGGGAAAGGGGGCCTCTGCGGACCCCAGCGCCGCACTGCTCGAATTTAGGGGTTTATCTCCCGCGTCCTGGGGCCCTCGAGAGGCCTATCCCGTCGTTCAGGGGCCACTCCGACCAGGACATGCACACTGGCCTGGGCTCGGCTTCTCCCTCAAGCCTCCAGGATTCCCTTAACCCTCCCCAATTTGGGGTTCTCTCCACCCGGGAAAGAGGCCCGGATCCCCGCCCATGGCAAACCAAAGAGAGATCCCAGCCCCTGGTGCACCGGAACCGGCTTCAGCCGGTTTCACACTCCGGTCCGCAGCGGGCCTGCACACCCACGAATGCCTGTGCACTGATTTAACTATAACCCCCGCCTGGGATTTCTGGATAAATATTTACAAACAGCCCATCCAGCCCAGTTTCCTCATTCTATAGAGGAGGAAGCGGAAGGCCAGCGAGGGGAGGGGCATTGCCAGACCACAAAGAACCCGCAGGCACTGCCTGGCCGGGACTGGTGCGTCTGCAGCGGCCCCCCAGGCAACATCGTACCCTAACCGCGCACTCAGCCCCCTGGGGACTCACAACATCCCCTGCGGGAGTGTTTCCTAGGATCCCAGAGTCCACTGTGCCCCACTCCCTCCCCCCCATGAGCTTGTGGCTAAATTGTTCATCAAACTGGGCCTCAAAACACAAACACAGACATCGCTCTTCGTTGAGTGGTTTGGTCTTCAGAGCCAGGCTCGCGCTCACCCTTACACCCCCGGCAGCCACCACTGGGGAGTCCCTGTTGTCATTCCCATTCCTGCCCCTGGCACGGTGTCCCATGTGTCCTGACCATGGAGGACACAATTCTCCACAATCTCTCCGCACCCCGCACGCACACGCCCATACACACTGGCTCACTGGAACCCACAGATGGTTTCTCGCACAAACGCCCTACTGTGTTCCTAGCACGCTGCAGTCACAGAAACACACAGGGGACAACTTTCTGTCCCGTGTCAGCAGCCCTGCACACGACCGTCCCCTCGCGCGGACGCAGCTCACCGGGCAGATGCAGGCCACGCGCAGAGAGCGGGCCGGGGCTCCGCGGGCTGCCGGCCCCTGTGCGCTCGAGCAGGAGGCCGTGGTCGGCGCGGCACAGCAGCTCGTGTTCACGCAGCGAGAACTCGTCGCCGGGCAGCAGCTGGCGGCTGCACACTGAGCAGCGGAAGCACTCGATGTGGTACACGCTGTCCCGCGCCCGCATCACCAGGTCGCTGCTGCTGAAGCCCACCTGGCACTTGGCGCACTTGATGCCGAACAGCCTGCAGGCGCGGGGCAGCCGTCAGCGGGGCTGGGGCAGCGGCCCGCGGGGACTCCGTGCTCGCTTGGGTGGGGGTCGCTGTCGCTGAGCCTCACCTGAAGTAGTCCCGCTTGCAGTAGGTTTTCCCGTCTCTCACGAAGCACGTGCACGTCTCGTCCAGGTACTGGCTGCACTCGGCGCACTTGAGGCACGCGGCGTGCCACTCGAGGTCCGGAGACACCCTCAGGATAAACTGGTCGTGGATCTGACTCCCGCAGCCCACGCACGTGGCCGTGCCTGGCTTCTCTGCGGGGAAGTGCGCAAGTCAGGCCCTGCTGCAGACCCGCTTCGGCTGCCCCCGGCCGGCCCAGCCGCCTTGCTCTCCAGCACGAATTGTAACCACAAGGAGAAGGGAGCGGACTTTCTAAAGGTCCAGACAATTTGGACATGGAAAAACAAAAGCAGAATTTGTAAAGTCCTTTTGTCTCCCCTCCCCCTGCCCCCTCGAAATTTAATAACATTCATTTGGACACAGCCGTTTTATCGATTTGTGTTGTAGCTAAAAGCTAATGTCGTGAGAAGAAAGTAAATGGACATGTAGGCTCTGCGGCCCCACCGCGTCCACACCGAGCCGGCCTCCCTCCCATGGCGGTGCCCACCAGCCCCGACCACACATTGGCTTCAGCGCGGGCTCCTCGCATCCTCGCTGACATTTCTTGGTTTAAACGCCCCAGATCAAGCTAGAGGAATAGTCCTTATTTTGAAATAACCGAAAGACCGGCGAGCAAACCAGAGCCCCACACCCCTAAATCACCTAATTGCCTTAGCGCAAAACAGAAGCAGGTTTCACAGCCTGGGGCCAGCCTCGCAGGCTTGAGAAAGAAGACTCAGTTATAAATTAAAACATCAGATGCCAACGGGTAAGTCGTCCTGCAGGAGAAAGGCATTCGTTTTGCTTTTTGTCGCCCAGTGTCCTGTCAAATAGAAGCCACTTGTAGAATCCGGTCAGCATTCTCCTGCAGCAGAAATATCGCGCATTAAGCACAAACACACCCACACCCACACCCAGAGAAGACTTACTCTTGGAAGAATCCCCCATAGCACCCAGGAAAGGATAATGGAAAATAATATCCACCATGCAGACAGAGGCGTGCGCCAAGTGTGCGCCGGGCGGAGGACGAGGGTCGCGCGCCCCGCCGGCTCTTTGCTAACTAACTCGTACCCCGCGGACTTGCAGGACCCACCGCACCGGCCCGCACGCAGCATGACGTCAGCACGCATTCGCCGGTGCCTGGCGGGGGCGGGACCTGCGGCGTCACCAGCCTCCCCCGAACCGGGGTGCGGGGGAGGTGATGGGGTCCCGCGGCCGGTGGGCGGGCGCGCTGGATGGAAGGCGGGGGTGACGCGGGATTGGCTGCAAGGAAAGGGGCGACCCTGATTGGCCGGAGTGAACAATGGAGTGCAGCCCCCTCCCCAAAATCTGCCAGGAGCCTTCGCGGCTGGGGCCGGGTGTCTAGGCTGAACCCCGAGGCACCGCGCAGCTCTCCAGAGGCTCCCACTACCCTGCGCTGTCTCCTGGACTTTCAGCGAGGCTTCCTAGGCGCACCCGAGCGCGGAGATGGATATCTGGGGAGTGGAGGGTATTTAAATGCCCCGTTTCTTAAATAAAAAATAATAAATCCACATTCCTGGCACCAGATCAGGGAAAAGTGTGATCTGTTTGGAAAGGACTATCACTATCCAGCCGGTCACCTTTCTCCTTCCGTGCGCCTTTGTTCTCAGGGTCTAGGCTAGAGAGAGAAAGAGAGGTTAGGGACTGAGCACTGGGTTTGGATGAATTGTTCTGACTTCCCACCCGCTGTCTGGGGAGAACTTCAAGTCGGAGCACTAGTTGGGGAGCGTCCGAGCGCAGAATCGGAGGACGCTCCCGGATCCTGATTCGAGCCTTGACGTGCATATTTTTGGCGGGGGGTGGGGGCATTTTGGCATTGCTCCCCCCATTCTTCCCTGCCCCCTTCAATAGCACAGCCCCTTCTAGAAACAATTCTGGGGTCAAAAGTGTGTCCCACTTCCAGAATTAATGATATTTATAAACTCTTGTTTCATTTCACAAACCAAGTTAAAAGCAAATAATGCAGAAACAGTTGTGGTGCGCTGGCTGTGCGGAGGACGGTCTGTCCTTAGAAAACCCGTGCTCGTTGCAGAGTCCAGGCATTTCTTTCTTTCAAAGAAATCGCTGTGGGTTTTGTTTGAAAGGGTTCGAAGACTGGCCCATAAATTATAAAGACTGGCCCTTGAGGCTGCTGTTGTCTTCCCATTAAAAAGGGTGCGGCGGACTTGGTGCGCACTTGGATGGGGCACGGTGAGTGCTTGGAATTGAACCTTCTCCTCCGGATCCCAGATCGGGCCCAGGTCTCTGTAGGCCCCTCGGCCTTTCTGCTAAAAACCGAAGGCTAAAAACCTAAGGCCGGTCGGCCTCAAGGTCTGGGCTGCGCGCCGGGAAAAGCTGTAGCCAAGGGCGCAGGGAGAGTCTTTGCGGAGAGCCAGGGCCAGGCCTCATTGCGCACAAAATCTTTGCTCTGTGGTGATCTGCCGCACAGCCGGTAAACGGCGGTCCGACCGCGCTGTGCCCCGCGCTTCTCGCCAACCGGCCTGTAGTCTCAAGGCTTCTCACACACCGTCACCGTCACCGCCAACGCCACCGCCTTTGGAATGCCCTGTCTTCTCGGGTCCAGCTCTTCCGCACGGCGTCCCAGCGCTGTGCCAACAGGCCGGTCCCTGCGTCTTTGGCTACTAGAGCTCATCTTAACTGTTGCAGCAGGGTCGGTTGGGGAGAATGCTGCGTTTGAATAGATTTGTCTATGTAAAAAAAGAACGGGAAAAAAACAGGGTTGAGCCAAGGGCGGCATCTGTGCGGTGTCTGCGCCAGGCCACTGTGACCTCAGGCATCTTATTTTACTTTTCTGTTACCCAGCCTCCTCATCTATAAAATGGGAAATAATATTAATAGCTACCTCTAGTATTATGAGAATTAGACCATTTTCTGGACAAGGCTTAGAACATAATTATCATTATGGCTGTATCTTCATGTTGGGGAGCCTCTGGATGAGTTATGCCTTCCCTGCGTGCGGTGCCTGTGTGCTGGGGCCCAGGCAACTCCTACAGGCTCACACGTGTGTACACACAGGCGCACCTTCCAGTTTTCACCCACCCAGGAGACTTTCCCCTACACGGAGATGTTTGGTCTCCTGTTTCTCAAGGAATCATGTGTGTGGAGGAGCGCTGGGCCTAACCTAGGTCCTCTGCATCAGCATCATCATGTTTAACATACTAGATTCCAATGGGGCCACTTTCACAAACGTGACTGGATTTATCCTCAGCAATTCTAGGAAGGAGTTACTGTTGCTAAAATTATCCCTATTTCTCCCCCCGCCGATTTTGCTCAGTGGTTAGAGTTTTGGCCCGTGGACCAATGAATCTGGGTTTGATTCAGGTTCAAGGGCACGGGCCTCAGTTGGGGTTCCTCCCTGGCCCTGGTAGGTCATGCGGGAGGCAACCAGTCCATTTGGCTCTATCACATTGATGTTTCTCTCTCTCTCTCTCTCCCTTCCTGCCACTCTATCTCTGATAACAAGTGGAAAAATATCCTTGGATGAGGAAAAATGTCTCTGTTTCACAGATGAGGAAACAGGCTGGGAGAGGGCAGGTCGTTTGTCAAAGGTTACACACCTCATGGAGCCAGGCCTTGAAGCAGGTGCTCTGCTTCCAGAGACTGCCGTGGAGTCCTCACCCCATCTCGCCTCCTGGACACTCACACAGGGGGTTCCACAGGCACAACATGCACCCCACACAAGGAAGCTCCTGCAATAATCCTCACCATGCGTGTCAGAGAGGAAATGGGGCCCAGTGACCTGTTCCCCAGCATGTAAGTGACAGCGATGGAGCTGGAAGCCACATTGCCAGGCCTGGATCAGGGCCCTTCCTGGTGGAGTTCCTGGGGATGGGAAGGCCAGGCCTCTCCTCTGGCTCATGCCTCCACCCTCCTCCTACTTCACACCCATAGGCCCCCACTTTTCTCCAAAGGAAATTGGAGATGTTGTATTGTACAGGTCATAAGGGCCTGGGCATCCTCATCATCACCTGCCAGAGGCTTCTGAAAACTGGATTGGGCCCTGGCCGGTTTGGCTCAGCGGTTAGAGCATTGGCCTTCAGTCCAGAGAGACTCGGGTTCGGTTCCCGCTAAGGGCATGTATGTAGGTTGCAGTTTGTCCCCTGCCCAGGTTGGGGTTGTGTGGGTGGCAGCCACTCGATGTGTACCTTTCATGTCGATGTTTCTCTCTCTCTTTCTTCCTCTCCCTCCCTCCCACTCTATCGGAACAAAAAATGAAAAAATGTCCTCGGGTAAAGATAAAAAAAAAGAAAAGAAAACTGGATTGGGGGGTGGGTGCCACCATGTTTCAGAGAAAGCAGCTGAGGCCTGGGAAAAGGAAGAAACTGGGCAAGTCAGAGTCAGCATCCAGGCCTCCTGATATCCAAGCCCCTGCTTCCTCCAGGTACTCTTGCCTGCCCCCTACCTCAAAGGAGTTCCCTTTGAGCAAACAGGTCCCAGTACACTGCTGGGCCCTTCTCCCTTCTCCCTGAGCCCCTCCCTGCATGCACAGAGTACTTGCTTCAGGCGGGGCTCTGGGCTAAGCCATCTAGCTGGTCTCATTGAAAGCACAGGCTGCATGCCGAGCGTCCCAGAAATGAATAAATTAACCACCTTCACAAATCAATACAGCTACTAAGAGGTGGGACTGAGAGTCACACCCACTAGTCCAGGAGACTAGTTATGAACTTGTGCTACTTGAGTCTGTCCAGAGGGGAATGGCCTTGCTCACTCATTTGTCACTGTTTATACTGGACATGTGTCAAAGTCATTCTGGTTAAGAAACGCGCCATCTACAGCACTTTTGTCCTTGGGGGATCAATGGGTTCATTATACAAGGGTGACAAAATGAACCCCCACCTCTGTTTCTTTTTCAATCCCCCGCTGGAGGGAGCTGCCAGGATAACCCACCAGGCCTGGGTCTTGGGAGGAGGGGATGTGGGATGGAGCTATGCCTGGTGGCTTCTGGGAAATTTTCATTTTTCCTGTCTTTCCAGAAGGCGGAACCCCAGCCCGCTGGCCTGGGAGTGGTTCTGCATGGTCTGATTCCTCCATCTGCGCAGATGTGTGTGGATTTAGGTTTTTGCAGACTTTGCAGCCAGCTGCAGCCCCCGATCCTGCTTTCATGTCCCATCCTAAAACAAATGGAAAATGGTTTCTCATATATCCTCAACGTGAAGGTGCCCCTTCATAAACTTATGCTCATAATCTTTTAAAGGTTTGGAAGGATGTCTTTCATTCTTTCTGATATTCGTGAGAAGCTAAATATGTGTGTTTTTTTCCTTCATCCTGAGGACCAACAAACTCTATCCTATTTGGTCTGTTTGTCACCTTGAAACAAATCAGAATTATAAACCACTCCAAATGCTTGGCTCTGTTGAAAGCCCACCAGGCAACAATGTTTCAGAAGAACCTACAAAGTATCCTCTTTCACAGGGAAACATCTTTTGGAGGCTAGAGCTACTGGCAGATTCCAAAAATAGATAATAAATGAGATAATAGAATCTGGGTTGTCAGCTCTTGTCCGGAGGGATTATCTGATGTCTAATTATGCACAGATTGTGATCAATGTGATTTTGGAGGGGTCCTTAATCCGATTCAGGATGGAATCCAGTCAGATTTTCATCTGTTCTGAATGTGTAATTGGTTTGGAGGCAGCAGAAAAGCAGCTTGTACCAGATTTTGCCGCATCACCATGATGAGGTCTATTTTGATCAGCTTGAGTTATGGACAATATAAATTATTTATAGCCACTTTAGATATGCCGTACACTTGTAAAGACCTTCAGAACAAAATAATAACACTCCTCTCGCTGTTGCAGGACTCTCACTTAGCTGAATCCTGGTGCCCACAACTGTAAAAAGCGAGGGAGAGATGAGATTAAAGGCTGGTAGGCTCATCGACCACTGACTGAATATTACGAGGGACAAGAGGTTGAGCCAGGCTGGTAGAGGAGGCTGCCTGATGCTCACAGAACCGGGCGGGTCCTG